ATATTGCAACTTTTGTTGTTATTATCGCTTTTCTCTGGCATTCCTTATTACTGGTTCCCATATTGTATTCATTTCTATGCTTGGTCGGCTCAGAGGATTTTTGTGACCTAGCATATGTACTGATTCCTTAACTTTAGGAATTTTCCAATGGTGTTCCTTGTCTATGATTTAAACCTGATTCCACACAGGGCGGTGATCTCCCTACTCTCTCCATATGTGGTCAGCTACGCCTGATTTTTCCACTTCCCCTCGTGTTACAGCTTTCTGGTGTTCTTGAAGCCTTACTTTAAGGGGGCGTACAACGGCCGAAACGTTGTATTAAATATAGCGACAAAGATGAGGTCAATAGTCCGAATAATGTAAACAATGTAAATAAAAGCAATTATAATTTAACAGCTGCACCCTCAAATGTAAAAAAAAAAAAAAAAAAAACACACATCACTTCTCGCTTACGTCACAGCACTTTTTGATTTACTAGTTCTACGAAACTCTCCAATCGTCTTTGTCTCTTGTCGAAATTGAAGATATTACTTGAACTTTTCTTCCGAACTGAGCTTTGGACAATTTTTGACGGAATTTCCTCTTTGATTGAGAAGAAATATTCGTAATTAGAAAAAAGTCGATCTTTAAAATTAATTGGCACAAAATGTCCGTGGCTTTTAATAATATTTGGCTTAAAGAAAATTTGCTGTCGTAAATGCACAGAATATATATATATATATATATATATATATATATATATATATATATATATATATATATATATATAAAAAGAAATATGTTGTAGTGGTTCCAACGAGAGAAAAAAGTATGTATATTAAAAAGAAGAGAAGAGAGGTGCCGCAAACGTTTTTGGTTGTAATGTGGATTTATTTAGAAAAAAACATTATACTTTGTTTTACATAATTTTTCGACACGTGTTTCTGGTCTCGCGACCGTCCTCGAGGTAAAAGCGGAGATTTCCACATATTATTAAAAATAATTCATTTTTTCCTTATGTTCAATGTTAAATATTCTCGATATGAGACATTTTCTGTTTGTGTGTTGGTAATCCGAATTTCTTTCTTGAATTCAAGACCAGAAACACGTGTCGTAAAATTATGTAAAACAAAGCATAATATTTTTTTCTAAATAAATCCTCATTACAACCAAAAACGTTTGCGGCACCTCTCTTCTTTTTTATATATTTTTAATATATATATATATATATATATGTGTGTGTGTGTGTGTGTGTGTGTGTGTGTGTGTGGAACCTCCTGAACGAATATATCGAACAATTAAATACGTCTACGAAACTGTGGAGTCGAGGCGCTGTATATAAAATCAGTCAGCTAAAGGACAAATGTTATTTTTATTAATCACACACACACACACACACACACGTGTGTGTGTGTATATGTGTAAGAATTTGAGGTAGAGCATATCTGTGAAAGGACAACATGAATAAAGTCAAAAGGAAAATTTACCTTAAGCTAAGCGTTTCCTTCTCTGAGTGACTTTATCAAGGCAAATCCGTGGATTTTATTTTGTAAGAAGTATTTATATAAAAAACCAAAAATGTTATTACTTTTTCAAGGTGTTTCGCTATAGGAACGTTCATAAATATTTACTAGATTAGATGAAATGAGCGTGCCTATAACTAAAAATTTAGAAAAACCATTAACATTTTTGCTCTTATGTATAAATACCTTTGACTTGCTCAAAGGACGAAACGCGTCGGCTAAGATAAATTTTCCTTTTGTCTTTATTGATACATACATACATATATATATATATATATATATATATATATATATATATAGTACAGATAATCGATCCGTTGGTATATAATCCGGGTGGATCCTAGTAATATTAATTATCAATTTCTAAACAAGTATTGTATTTTGTTTATTTATTAATCTCAGAGATTTTAATTGTTTAATAAGTAAACGGAGCGTCTACTGGAATATGAAAAATATACACTAAAATAACGTTTAAAGTAATATATATATATATATATATATATATATATATATATATATATAGTATGTGTGTGTAGGAAAGGAAATGGATTAAATCCGACATATTGTTACTTTTAATTTATTTTGTTTAAATGTTATTTTGAGGGATACTCGTGTTCGAGTAGACGCTCTGTTTTTTTATTTTAATTGAACATTATTTTTTTTTTAATTAAACAGTATTTTTTATTTAACAACTTCTACCGAGAAATATTGTCAGAAAAAAATTTGCGGCCTCCAAATTACATGCGATATCCATTTTAGTTGTTGCTGCTATTGAAAGTTCTCAAGTGATGTGGTTTTTGTTATTTGGCACAGTTTTTTGTGATTCTGCGATTCACCGGTCCACAAAACTCGAAGAAAGGATTGTCTTTGCTGAGACTTGCAGGTGTCAAAGCCAGTTTTATCCATTGATCTGAAAAAAAAAAAAACAGTTGTATATAGCTGACAGATATTTCTGAACTGGTTTGATGCCATACATAACATCCATATGAAAGTCTCGATCCATATATATATATATATATATGGATCGAGATATTTATATATATATATATATATATATATATATATATATATATATATATATATATATATTTTTGGATCTCGATTGGGTTTTTATTAGATTCTTCTAAAATCCTCTGCGTCTGGCGCTAGCCCGGTGTGGTCAGGGTTGTCATTTATGAACGCTATTTACCCAATGACTCTTGCCAAAGGATTATCTGTTTATTTTTGTTTTCAAGACGAAACCGCCCCGTCAGTGTTAATTGAAGCGTGAAATGAGGGGTAAATATAGACACGAAGAGGATCTTGGAATTCTTTGAGTGCTCGACGCTTTTCGCCATCTGAAATTGAATTGCGGCAAACAATTATTTCCTTGAGTGACTCCCAACAGCTGCTGGCAAAGTGCGGTCAAGTACATTCAATGTCAAACATTGAAAGCAAACCTGTCATTTTAAGTTGTAGCAACTAAATGCAGCGCTTTCTTTTCTTTTGTGGCCTACCCGCTGGCTGAGATAGGTCCTTCTTTCTCAACGGTGTGTCTGAGGTCAGTGTTCGAGATCAGGTAAAGTCCAATTTCTCGAAACTTTTCCTTTTTTTTTTTTTTTTTAAGTAAACAAGACTGCCCCACTTCCAAGATTGAGTCTCACCTTTCCGGTCCCGACAGAGTCCAAAAGCGTCTCCGAGTCCGTGTGGGTGACAAATTATTTTTCACTCTAGAACGTCTCACACACGTGGCACACCTCTCACTGCTCTCTCACTACTTCCATGGAAAGTGCTCGGGCGAACTGCATTCCTTAGTTCCACCAGTTCTAACCTTCACAGCTAGGACCTGCCATGCCACTCACATTGTAGCAAACCACCAACATTCCCTCCGTATTCCATTGGTGAGAAGTAAGTTCCACTCAAACAGCTTCTTCCCTTGAACCACTGCTATGTGGAACCGACTACCAAGAGGATGTTTCCCCGATTACTACAATCTTAACCTGTTCAAGTCTAGGGTTAACCGTTATCTTCCCCTAAAATTTAAATTGCTTCTTAATGTAACCCTCTATCTCGAGTGGCACGCAGATCTTGTACAGGATAAACCTTATTGTTAAAACAAGCACAGACCAAGTTATTTTTTTTTAATATACCAAGTCCTTTCAGCACGTAAGCGACCATGCCTCGCCACAACTTTTTTTTTAACGCCAAACAAGGCGGTAATGCCACTAATACGCAAGGGGTTACTGACAGTGGAAGAAAAGCAGATGTTAGTTTTTGTTGCCATTTTCCTTACAACTTCATTGTTGCAGACATGTTCTGCTCATAGTGTTATTAGCCTTCATCAGCAGAATCACACTGCTTCAAGTCTCCACTTAATCCGTGAGGAATATTTTTCAACATTCACTGACTTACAGGAAGTAAATTAGACCTTAGTTCAGCAATCGATATTTTCTTAGCTCTTAATAATTTACTTAGTTTCTGGAAGATATCTTTCGTTATTTCTATGCTCTTTCGGATTTCTTTCTCATATTTTCCATAACTGTACTTGCTTTTGATATTTTGACATTGCCAATATGTAGCTCACAATTTGGGCTGCCTCTTTTGCTGACAACTATGCATTCTATCTTCCTTCAGTTAATCATCCTTTCTTCTTACTTTTCATTGTTACCTTGAGTTTTTTCGTTTCCTTCGACGTCCGCCATCAACACAGTGTCATTCGCGTATTGCCGAGATTATATCCACTGATAATGAACCTTGGTAGGTTTTCTATTTCTAATATATCAGTCAGTTATGTGCCATGCGTGATACACTGACGAGGCAGATTTTTTTTTTCCTGCAGTAGTTGCCATTTCTTTCTGCGGTAGACCAGTTGCAATCCAAGGCTATAGAACCTGGTCTGTCCTGCTATTTACCCATAACTAGAAGAAGAGGATTCATACCTTTCCCAAGAAAGGGTATTAGAATGTAAGTGAATGTAATGGATCGACTGGAATTCGAACTCGGCTCTTCAATCCCTCAATCCGAACCGCTATCCATTACTCCACCGTTAGGTTGAATAAATCCGGCGAGAACATGCAACCTTGTCTTAGGTTGACTTAAAACCTCGCGTTTTATTTATTGTGTATTCACTGAATTCAGTTGTTGTCCGCATGAGGGTTGTTTGTTCCCAGTAGAGGTTACTCGAATATATTTTCCCGTATAAGTGAGACTAAGGTTTAGTAAATATCAATAAGAACTTGTCAATAACCGTTGTTGACAATTATGCATTATCTTCTGTCTCTTCTGTCACTCACTCTATCCGTTTCTTCTTATTCTGTTCCTTATCCCTTCCTATCTTCGTTGATCCTTCATGCCTTTAACTAACTTTTATACGAGCATCGATTTTAGTTCAAAGATGCGTTTATTCTACTCAGGATGCTACCCTAGGATAGAGAGCCACGTTTATACTTTCTATTTAACCCATAGTTTGGGGAAAGCAGTTGGAAGACCAAAACATATGTCAGCCGAAGCAGTGTCATAATGACTCTTTTTCTACCCGTACACTCCTCCCGCTCTCTATTTTCCCGATCACTATCCTCTTACTCTTCCTCTTCCAACTCTCTTTCCTACTGCTCCCTTACCGCTCACTCCCCTCCTGCTCATCATTATCCTGCTCTCTTTCCTCCTGCTCTATCTTTCTTCCCCCCCCCGCTTACTTTTTCGCCTCCTGGTCATCTTCTTCCTTCTCACACTCCTCCCGCTATTCCTTTTCCTGCTCACTCTCCGCCCGCTCTTCCTCTTACCGCCGCTATTTCCTCGCGATTACTCTCTTTCCGTTTATCGCTCACTCTTGTTCTTCTGTCTTTCCGCTCACTCTCCTCCTTCTCACCTTTCTCCTGCTTTCTCTCTCTCTCTTTCGTCATACCCTCGCTCTCTCTTTTCGCTCACTCTCTTTACCCATTAACACCCCTCTCATTCTGTCTCCTCCTGCTTCCTTTTTCTCCCTTCTAACTAAATTTTGATCTGAAATTTTTACTCCAGTGTATAAAGCTCGAGGTATGTGATAAATATTCAGCACTGAATTAAGTGCATTTACAAAAGAAATTATATTGTAATACAAATAAGTTTTGTGCATTATAAACGATTTTTTTTCGTTTACGGACTTATTGTTGTGCTTACGCACGGGAAGTCAAAATAGAAACCATATTTTTGCAATATTTTAAGTAACAAAAAATAACTATTCTTATTTAAAAAGCTAAAGTTGTAAAGTTTATTTATTTATTTTTATTTCATGCCTTAGAAAAAAAAACATTATTCGTGCTAACATTTGGCTTAGTACTAGAAACCCACAAAAGAGCGAAGAGAGGTGGGGAAGTGGCTTTAAGTTTTTAGGGGATTAAGTTGCCTATCAAAATAAAAGGGGTGCTTTGAACAAAGTCTGGACGGCTTTAAAGGATAAGAATTATATTAGAAAAGACATTGGCAGGGAGTGTGGGTCGGGTTGGTTTAGAAGTAAGCCGTCAGTTTAAAGGTCGACACTGGGACAAGGAAAAGAAATATGTTCTAAAGAAAAGTTAGTACAAACGAAATCGGTGTGTGCCGAGATGATAGCATAACCTGACAACGTTAGTGTATGTGTTTGTGTATACGCACGCGCGTGGATATGTGTGTGTGTGTGTGTGTATACACGTAGTTATAACGATAAGACTACAACGAAATGATAGCATTTTCATATTTATTTGTTAACTTTCGTCCTTGTCAATGCACTTAAACTAGTGACAAACATTAATCTGATAGATCGAACATAACACATTTTATTTTATTATTCAACACATGACTTCACGTCAAGCTCCAGAATTATTGATCCACCCTCTCTCTTTGTCTCTATATATTTTCAAAAATTATAACATAAACATGTTATAACATCAATAAAAAAATAAAATATAATACCACTACAAAAATAAAATATAACATCACTACAAAAATAAAATATAATATCATTACAAAAATAAAATATAATATCACTACAAAAATAAAATATGACATCACTAAAAAAAATAAAATATAACATCACTAAAAAAAATAACATATAACATCACTACAAAAATAAAATATAATATCACTACAAAAATAAAATATAACATCACTAAAAAAAATAAAATATAACATCACTAAAAAAAATAAAATATAACATCACTAAAAAAAATAAAATATAACATCACTACAAAAATAAAATATAACATCACTAAAAAAAATAAAATATAATATCACTTCAAAAAATAAAATATAACATCACTAAAAAAATAAAATATAACATCACTACAAAAACAGCCTTTTGTTTCAACACTTCTGGTGTTTTCTTAAGTGATTCAACACCATCACATGAGAAGACACCAGAAGTGTTGAAACAAAATGGCTATTTTTGTAGTGATATTTTAACATGTTTATGTTATGATTATGTTATATTTTTTGAATAAATAATATTTGTTATACTCTGTATTGAGTGCTCTTTTAAAAATAGTGTTTTGGGTTATTGGAATTTTATTCCTATATTTATATATATATATATATATATATATATATATATATATATATATATATATATATATATTGGGTATATATATATATATATATAGTCAGCTTACCCAGAAACCTAGGTAGGTTTTCCTGGTTCTTTAGGATTTATTTTAGTTATTCCCGTTCTACTTAGCGTATTGAGCACTCTACGTGTTAGTCTTACTATTCGCTTCGGGCTTTTTTTCTTTGGACTAAAGACTTAAGGCACTGGACGATTTATTTCGCCCAGTTTGGATGTTTTTTGTTCTTTCTTTTTTATTTATTTCCAATTTTTTCTCGGTACCGATTTGATTTGACATATCGACAAGTTGAGCTATCTGAGGTTTTTACCAAACGACTATCGTTATTAGTATATATATATATATATATATATATATATATATATATATATATATATATTTATATATTTGTAAAGGTCATGAAGCTTGTGTTTTAACTGATTTAACTGTTTTTAGTTTGTGCGTGATATTGTTAGTCGCAAGATTTCGGCTTCGGATTTAGAAAGTATATTTTCTCTGCGTAACCTTTTTCCAATTGATGTTGTTTGGTCATTGGTGAGCTTTTCTTGGTGGTTGAATTGCTCCGCGCATGTGAGGTGGTGGTCTTGGATGTCTTTGGTGAAGATATTTTAGCTATTCAATACTTGAGCCTTGATCACAGTAGACAGGGAGCAGTAGACGCGACAGGCAACAATAAACTACAAAAGAACTCAAAACTGATCGCTGCATTTAAATATTGCATTACTATTTAAGTTTACCTTATAAAAGTTCAACGATAATTCCTCTGCCGCCACTTAATTTAAAAAATGTTTGATGTACGTAGATCATTACTTTCCGTACAAACAATTATTTTTATTTCATGGGTGACTTTCGCTGGATTTTGAAATTTATTTCGATTATTCCCAAATTTATTTCCAAGTTATAGAAATTGTTATCACACGAAAAATATTGTTGCAAAAAGTCACATAAAAAATCGCAGTAATGAAAACTTGTGAATCCGCAAATTCTGTAACATGATCTATTGAAAGTTAAAGAGTTATGTCCCTTTAATTGTTTTTATTCCAATAAAAACAATTAAAGGGGCACAACTCTTTAACTTTCAATTCCAAAATGGTGGAATCCGGAAAAACATTCGCATTAATGAAAACTTTGCTTATTCATCATTTCAGGATTGCGAGTCCGGATCCGACCCATAATGTTTTAAATTTGCACACGGAATCGGCCTGATTACAAAATGGGATGATATGTTGGGGGACGACTCCTATGAGTAAAGTTGAAACGGTGTGACACATTGACATTCACATTTATTTTATATATATATATATATATATATATATATATATATATATATATATATATATATATAATATGTGTGTGTGTGCGTGTGTGTGTGATGTCCTAAAAAGAAATTTCATTAACTGTATATGTTTTTTTGCTTTCACAGATTAAACATTGCTTTTGTCGAAAGAATTGGCTTCTTTTTCAATGAGTAAGTTATTGCATCAAGTTCTCATGAATCATAAAAAGCGTATCAACCTTTGCATCACAAATTAGATGGAAATCATATTGAAGATGTTTTTTGGTAATATTGCAATTCAATAAAACGTTGTTTTAAATTTTATTTCTTGAAAATATACATTTTTGTCTATGTGCCCAGATTTTAAGGCACTTTATATATATATATATATATATATATATATATATATATATATATATATATATATACATGAATCATTCATACAAAAAATAGATATGTATGAGTATATGAATCATTCATGTAATGTAAATTGAACTGCACCACATACTTGATATATATATATATATATATATATATATATATATATATATATATATATATATAGCCGAATTATCCGCGGCTTGCTGCATGTCACGCATTTTTTGCATGTAGAAATTGTCCAAATGTAGGATTGATTCTTAGCTCTTTCGGTTAATCTATAAGCCATTTTCACGGATTTCTCATATATTACTATAATGTGTAATTATTTACAACAAGAGCAATGCAAGAAGAAGCAAGACATTTACCATAGTTAGAAGGAATAGAAACCATTTTCAAGAGCACATTTCTTTACGACTATTGCAGGAATACCCATGAACTTCACATGCATTGAGTGTATCCAATTTATAGATCATAGCAGAAACCATAGATGAAGTTATATGGGTATCTCACAGGATTTTTGATTGGAAACTCAAGCACAGATACACCAGATGAGTCAAGAGTAGAATTGCAAGTAAATCATTCTGTATGATAACACCTCAAATTGATAGGAGGTATAGAAGACTCACCCGTATTTAGCACTACTACAGAGCCGCCAGTAGTCATGAGAATCAAACTTAAGGAAAGGCTATATGATACTTCATTTTGTCAGCGAACAAAGACTTGGCTTTGCCTCACTGATGACATGTTTACAGTTATTATGAGCGGACATAAAGAGGCGCCTGTTTTAATCAGAACTATCACGTTGGTAATTCCGCAAAAAGTGATGACTGTGGGCTATAGCGACTGAACAGACAGGTTTGAACTTGCAGTGCCAGCTGATATTTCTCTCACAAAAGAATCGACACTGACTTTTATCCAAGAAGAAACCCTAGTGGCGTAATTCTCAATAGAAAAAAAAATATCACTTGTTTTATTTTTAGGATTGCTTTACCGGTAATTTCATGAGTTTACTTCAACTCTATACTTCTGACATCTAAAGTCTGAAATTTTATTTACTATTTATTTGTTACTTATATAGCTTTCTTCAATTAGAGTAGCTTATAAGTTCGATTACAGGCCTGGCCACACTCTTTCCCTGTCTTTTGAACAAGAATGGGGGGTTATCCCTTGTTTTTTCTTTAGGATTGGGTTTCCGGTTCTTTTACAATCTTCTCCTCTTCACTTCCTTCCGCCTTAGTGGCATTATTGACTTGCTTGGGTGAATTAATGATATATATATATATATATATATATATATATATATATATATATATGTGTGTGTGTGTGTGTGTGTGTGTAAGCATTTCACCCCATGTAATGCAGGACGCCACTAGGAGCTACAGGGAGTGGGAGTGGGAGCGAGAGTAAAGAGGCGTGATAGAGGAAAGGATGAAGAGAAGGACAGGGAATAGATCAAGGCATCTGGAGATGTCGATTGACATTATATTTGAATAGTTGGCGATGATAGCTTCTCACAGAAACAAGTAATAGGAAGGGAATTCCGCAGACGGGAGCTGCAGGACATGATGAAGCTATTGGAGTAGAAGAGACGGCGACATTTAACTGCTTCGACAGTGAAAAAGTGGGATCGAGATGCCAGTCTAGTTGCCCGTTTAAATTCATGCAGTCTGGCAACTACCGAAAGTTGCTCGTCGGAGCAGTTACCGTGTAAGTATATATATATATATATATATATATATATATATATATATATATAT